ACCTCGAGCTGCAGCGCAGACGACAAAGCATGAGAGGGGTGTGTACGTGCATTCTATTCCAGACGCTGTTTGAGAGAAGGGCGCTGCTTCAATGCAGTACTGCGCTGCAAGAAGACTTGACTTCAGACGTCAGATGCTTTACCGCGTACGACGAGCCTTCGGTGCATTATTGAGTTGCGTGCGCTCGCCTTCCGGTGACAGCCTCCGCGTGCAGCTTTGCTGAGTGACAAAGCGTATCACAGCTTCACTTGTCACGTGTTCTTGCCATTATGGTTCGGAAGCAAGTTCTCCGCATGCAACAACTGACTTAGAGACAAGAACAGAAAGTGTGTTTCTCGAGGAGAATCGCCCCGTTATTAAGACGAACAATGCTGGCATGCCCGCGATACGACCAACACTGTGCCGCCCAGGCTAGTAGGTTTCAGCTACACAGGTTCGTCATGGACGCTCGCGCAGATACAAGGACCATTGCCACCATCTTCTGCAGGATCATTAGCAAGTAGCGTTGGAAAAGGTCCAGTTACGTCAATGCGATTTCTGTATCCCTCACCAGAGGCTGATAGTGTGTGTAGGGTCCTTGCTCTGCCACATTGCCGACAGAGAGCAATCACTCGTGAGACCTTCGGACTGCCGCGTAAGTGCGAACGTTTGCCCTACCAGAGTGCACGACCACTAGTACCAGAGTGCTGGACCGATTCATAGCGGTTTCTGCTATAAGCATCAGCCTGTACCGTAGACGACAGCCTTCTAAGTACACGTGCCTGATGCAAGGTTCTCGAGTACGAATCCTACTGTCGCCTGCGGGCGCTCAGAGTGCGGAAAAGTGACAGGGTCAGCCGCTGACTGCCCTGAGATGTCTCCGTGTAGACGCATCATTTGCTCTCGGGCCGCTTCCGCTTATTCTTACTGAGCCAGGTGCGGTTCAAGCCCCCGTATCCCGTGTCTTTCGCCGCGCAACATCAAGCTCGAGCTCCCCCTCGCTTTTCCTCCTCTCATGCGGTCCGAAAGGAGACAGCTCCCTGTTCCTGAGGGTGCGTCGGTGCGCGTTGCGTGAAGACGGTGCTTACGGATAGACCGGTGCATGGCGGCGCCTCCTCCGATGGCTATTCTCGGGAAGTTCCTCGGGAGGATCTAACAACCCTGAACCTAATTCGAGTTGTCCTGGGGGCCAAAAGGCAAATACCAGTCCTACCCATAGAACGGCATGCACTACGGCAGCCCCTGTTGCGCGCTATTGCGCCGCGGCCGTCGGTGTCCCTGCTGCCTGCTTACTCCCTATGCGTTCAGGGAATAAAAGAAAACTGCGCTATCGGGCGTAGATACACCGCATCCGCACGCACGGTCTAGAGTCCAGCTTCGTATTTCTCCCCGCATGCTTCTGACTGCATTTGAATGCATGTGTGCACCGCATTTTTGAAGCGACTCTAAACACTACGGCCGTTCGCTGAACGTTCACCCCCTAGGCGGCCCTGGTCCAGCGCCTCCCTCTGTCGACCATCCTGTAGAAAGCGCCTTCGTGATCACTCATTGTCATTGGATCATTTTTGTTCGCAGCCGGAATTCTACATGAATATGCGCACGCAACTAGCTCTCTTGCTCAGGTCTGTCGCTTCAAAGTCTAGACGTCTCCCTGTGCAACGAGATGCTGAACAGTACTATTTGCTGCCTGCGCAGCGGCTGCCATTGGGCAGGCTCTTCAGTCTAGCACGTCGGTATCCCTGGACCAGCGGACGCTGCGCGTCACCGTGTCGCCGCGCTGCAGAAAGAGCCGGCAAGCTGGCAACTTCTCCAACCATAAAGTGCGGATACGGTTCGTGTGTCCCCTCTCGTGCACACGGCCCGTTCTCGTCACACCGGTGGACCTTTGCCCAGTTCACTGCCTTCCTCGAGCGGCCGCTGTGCGCCCGTCGCGGAGCCCAAGGGGCATGCTATCGCAGCAACCGCACACAACACGGTACTGGCGCGTAGTCCTTGGGCGCTGGCGTGGGATGTACAAGTTCCGTTCGACAGAAGATCGGCGTGCCTTTCCAGCTTTCTGCAATGGAATCTAAGGATGTGCCAGGGGCCCCAGTCCGTAGTCAAGAGCGCTGTCGCCGGTCACAACCTATTTGTCTTCTTTATTACACCGACTGGCCAGCCGGCGAAGACGGCGAATGCCCTGCGCCACCTAGAGGCTAAATGTTGAGGCCCGGGCATTCTATATCCTCGAACGTCCGCAGCCGGCACCAGGGGCCTTCCTCGCCGAGGATTGGTGACGATGTTCGGGAATCCATCCACAGGTGCTACAGCGCGCGGGCGTTTTACTACGCCGAGCGCTTGCGACCTTCCCGGTAGTGCAGAAGGTGGCTTCAAGTATTGCGCACAACGCGCTGAGTCGTCGTTGTCGGCACAATGCAGCGACATGTATTCTGTCGGGTAGCCCTTCGTCCCGCCGCCTGCCCCCGCGACAGACAGGAAGGGTGTGCTGCACGTGCAAGACGCAGATCAACGGAGGGGTCTCCTTGTGAACGAATTTTTCTGTTGGCGACCTCCCTGCACGACATAAGCGACTTGTTCCTGAACCAGGAAGCCACTCACTTCCTCCTGCAGGCGAATTAATGACCTGCCAAGGCGAAGCTGTCCTTATTCCCTTAAAAGAATCTGTCGAAGAAGAGACGAGCGATTGCTCCTGGAATTTCGCACTAACCACAGTGACGTACACAGCGTGCCGTTGTTGCCCGGGTCTTCCCGCAACGTGCTGCGCCGCGCCATGATGCTGCAACTGTGAGTATCACCCTTTTCCGTCTGTACTTTCTACGATACGCCTTACACAGCGGCTACGCAGAAATACGGTGGGCCTTCTGCGTGCGCAGACCCGCGAACTCGGAGTGCAAGGAAGGTTTCGGGGGGCAGCGCAGTGGTTTCGACACTGCGGCTCTCGCATGAGAAATGAGCTCCCGGTCCCGTCCCCCTCGGATTTCTGCTTCATGGCAACCTCTTGTGCATGGGGTTTCGTCAGCGCAGCGGCGCACGAATGTTTCTGTCTCTCGTCTGTCCCCACTGTCGCGTTTCTTTCGTTATCACCCTCGTCTACATTGAGAGCCCGGTGGTGTACGGGAGTGTACCGCGTCCAACAGTTGTTCACGAGAGGCGCTAATTGAGACCTGCAGAGTGACACTAGGACTGGCGCGCTGCATTGGGCGCTTTCAGCACCACAGTTGCTGCAGTCGCACTCTACGAATCTGCCGTTTTGACTTTTTGTCGCTGGGTCGCGTCTGGATCCAGAGCACGACGCACTGAGCACCTGATGAAAGTGCTTCGCACGTCGGCTTCGGCACCCAGTGTGCGCGCACGCGGCCGGCTGACTCTTATGTAAAAGAGGCTCTGCCAGAGCTTGCCTGCGGTAGACCGGAACGCTAGGCTTTCGGGTGGAATTCGCAGCGCCCCGCCGTTCTGTCCCCCCGTCTTTTTCAGCACCCGGCTGGCTCTGCATAACTGCTTCTCGCGTCGTTCAAATACGCACATCCTCAATTTAATCACATGCATCCCGAGAGAGTAGCGCGCCTTCTCACTTAAACCGTGAAACCAAATCAAATAAGCATCCGGCAAAGCATAGTCACGTCCCGTCTGTCTTCGTCTGCGCACCGGACCGTACTCACAGGAGCGGAGCGAAGTGAGTTTCGGGAAGGAGATGCCTTCCCGTGGGCCAAGAGAACTGGCCGAAGCACAAAAACCTCGCGATCCCGCAAACCCCAGAAGGTCTAATCAAAAGGACGTCGCAACACGGCGCCCTCAGCATCAATTCGGAGACATATGGATCGAACAGCGAGCCACACTGGACTTTCTAGTTGCGATCTGTGCTCAATGCACTTCTTCGCCACGTCTTTAGAGAATTTCTCGTGAGACACGGCACTCTGTGCAGGGCACCCTTGCCGGCACTCCCGCAACACCCGCACTTCATCTTGTGCTGCCCAACCGAGCCCTTGCGTAACAGGGTGCGGCCGTTTCGAGAAACCTTTCAATAATAGTACACGTGTGGCAAATGGTCTCGTCCGCGCGCGGCGCAAAGGAAAAGCATATCGTCGTCTTGATCAGACCCTACCTGTGCAGCGGCTGTCACAGCTCCATTGTGACGGTTTTCTGGTTCCGTTTCGTCAGGATTATGCGGCTGACATCGCAGGTCTCAGTGCGAGCCCCTGAACCGAAAAAGAGAGAAAAGAGCCCGTTTATCGTCATTCTGAAGCGCTGGTCGCCGCGGAGTGCTCGATCGTATACGATTTGCCCCCTAGTGACCTCTTCGGGCGTGAATATAAAATCAAACGCTTGGAGCTCAAAAGACACGGAGGCCAGGCGCAAGCGCGCGTCAACTAGGCCCGGCTACAAGGATATGGCCCGGTAGGTCCCGAGCGTCGCGCGGGCCACCGGCTGCAGTTGAGCACAAGACCACAGTTATGGCTTTGTCGCTGGTGCGCGCGTATCGGCCCGATGTGCTGCTCTGAAAACCTCCCTTCCCAACCGTAAATGCTGCCGTACCCCTTTGAAACTTTTTCCGCGACATCCCTGCTCCTGCGAGAAATGCACACGAAGGTGGTGCACCCCCAGTGCTTGAAAAAGGGGGGCGCTTGCGTCTCCTGTCTCTCCCGGATGAAAATTAACATATAGGAGAGAACTTGCCGCTGAGAAGGCACCTGATGTACAAAAAAGAAAGCGGAAGCTCGTCTATCGCATAGGATCGGTTGCCACGGATCGAGCATGCGACCGCAGTACCACCGAGTACAAGGAGGTTTTCACAAAAGGAAAAGCAAAGCGCGCTCGATGCTGGGAAGCGAAAAAGCATAGAGGCGAAGCGGCGTCACGCCGAACGAAGGTGGCAGCAGATGAGCTAAGAAACTCAGTTGGAATTCGGGACTGTCGTACGAAAAACAGCATTGGTAATGGCTCCCAGCGTGCGACACTGAAACGCTTCAACGGAAGTATATGCACAGCAGCTGCGATGTACCCTGATGTAGAACCTGCTTATATCTCCTGGGTGCTCCGACAACCGCTGCATGACCGCAGCTGTATGCGGCATTGCAAAATAGTAGCATGGCTGACTTCTATGCGGACGTCGCTGGCAGGTGCCGTGCATGAAGCGGCACGAACGTACGCAAAGTTACTGTAGAGAGTGTGCTTTGCGTACATCGGGAAATCAGGGACGCAAAGGTGGGTGACTTCCAGCAAGGAGGCGAAATCTGCTTCTCTTCTTTTCCGACGACATCCTGCAGGAGCCGTAGCCTCGCTCACCGCTAGCTACGAGCCGGCAGGAGACACAGATGCCACGGCGTACAGCGACAAAGAATCACCGAAACGGCCGTGTCAAAAGAGTTCCCGCGTCGCTGGCGGTGTTTCTGGAAGGACGCATTACCGTTGAGCTGTGCGCCTTTGGCGCTAGATTCTGGTGGACTACTTCTCCGATCAAATTTGCAGTTACAGAAGAGAGCTGCAGACCCACACATGAGTTGAATGCCTTGTCGGCTGTAGTCGAACCTAGGAGCCAGTGAAACGATATCCGCTCAGAACCAGTCGATTACACTCATCAAGATAAGCAATCCGCCCAACGTCTTGCTCTCCGTTGAAACTCACGCTATGGAAAGAGCTTTACCCCGTATAGTAAGCTTTTTCCACATATCAGCTTGTCTACCTGGCGCCGAATGCCATGCTGACGTCACAACGTACAGTATCGCTCTCTAAGGCATAGACAGCTCACCAACAGCTGTCGACCCAAGTGCAGTCCCACACCTCAGAAAAATGCGGAGCTGTTGTGTCAGCTTACAGCGGCGGTTCTGGCACTAACGAGTCCTCACCGACTGGTGCACCCTTACTTTTGAAAAGTCACCTAGTGTGTCATCAAGCTGGCGCCGTCACGCCGATATTAGGAGTGCGTTGCGGGCGTGCCTATGCTAGCAAAGATAACGGCACGACTGTCGCCTGCGGAGGCAGAGTTCGCGGAGTGACGACTGCCCTTACGCTCTGGCAGAACTACTTTGCTTCTACGTCTTCCACGCGGAGATCGACGGCCGATACTCCTTACGAAACCTCAGGCCCCGCCGTGCGTGCGTAAGTCCCCATCGGTGTCCACTCCGAAGTGCCCACGCTCTGCAGGGTGAATTCCCATGAGCAGCTCACATACGCTGCGGCGCGTATGGAGGACTTAGCGTTGACGGCGAGCTGCGCGCTGTCTAGTCAAACAATCCATGCTATTCGTGAGCGAACATATGCGCCCGAGCTTCGCTGTTTTGACTACAAAACTATACAGTTATCAACGCAAGCGTAGGCGAAGCTCCATAGTATGGCCACTCCCGGCCGCCGGCCTCGTCCGTCGTGTACAGCCGAACCATGCTTCCTCTGCGAGGGCCAGCACGCGCTGTCGGACAAGAATACATGACACCATGAAGTGTAGCCTGTGCTGGCCTGCTCAAGCTGTTTCAGCTTTCAAAAGGAGACAGTGTTAGGCCGTCTCGAAGAGCCACGCTTAGCATTCTCTCGTGAACGGCTTCGGGGTACTTCCGATTGTACCAGAAGACGAACACGGGTGCAATGCGACGCTGTACGTCCTCACCGCTTTCACCGCCGTACACGCGCACATGCCAGTGGACGCTTAACAAGCACGACGTACACCATGGCGCCCGACGCCGTACTTGTTCCCTATTTAAAACCCTTGTGACTTTCGTACGCTGTTTACAAAACTCATCACCACGGTGTTTAACCGGCCGCGAGCATCCACCCAAGGTAGCCGGCGCGTAGACTGTCCTAAGCAATCGGCACAATTATATCGAGGGCGAGAATGGTTTTCGTTCAATGCGCGCGTCCACGGCGACTTGGAAATTGACCTTATACATTCTCACTGTGGAGTCAGCCGGTGCACATCGATCCGAGCCGCAGCCTCAGCACCCAGCCGCGAAGGACCCTCTTAGATTGGGCTTATATTGAGGTCGTCCCCTACGGGTGGCTGTCCTGAGGGGCACCAGCAACCTTTCTTACATCCCCTTCGTAATTTATGTCCCTCCTGGAATAGCTCCAGGACGCACTAAACGCAACGCAAGAAAACGTCCTGCCAGAGCGCGGGAGGTATTTTATTGTGGCGCGCATGTACGCAAATACGGCACTTCCCCTGACGGGCACAGAGATGTCACATGAACAATGAGAACGGAGTCCGCGCTTCGTACGTGGGGGCTACTGTTACAGCGTGGTCTGTCGCAATACCACCACGTCGTTCGGAAAAGAAAGCCTCTGAAAGGGCTGCGCCGAAGAATAATCTGCCGCCCGGCCCTCGCTCTCGCAAAACGTAGGTTAGCCTTAAGCTTCAGAGGACCCGCTCGTGCTGGCCAGACGTCTGTGCCACGTACTAGTCTACGAATCTTTGAAGCCGTGTGGGCCGTACACTCGTTGCCAGCTTCCTCAGGTGCAGCAACGGCGGTCGTGCAATACTCGGCCTCGATAGGGAGGATAATCTGTCGGACGGCCTGAGTCTAGCGAGCCAAACGACCGAACAGCACACCATGATAACTGGGCCTCTGTGTTACCCTCTTCAGAGCAAGCTCGTGCATTCCGAGAGTATTCGCGCATAATTCACAGCATGTAGGGTCCGCGCCATGTCACACGACCGCTCACGTTTAGCTATAGACGCGCTCAGCACAGACAAGCGAGGACGCCCCTTTGAGCGGTGCTTCGACTATTCCGTGAGAGCATCTTAATTCCGGCATCAGCTGGCATGGAGTAAAGCCGTTCTTAGATGTAGATGCGCAGCACGCCCTGCTCCCTGAGATCCCTGCGCACGGGATAGGCTGGCTTGTAGTATCAGTCGTATCCACGCGGGATAATCATTTACCGTGGCGAGCTTCGCTAGACAATACGGGGCTCGACACCATAACCGCGTCTTTTCTCCATCACAGCTGGGAAGAAAAGATGAATTTTCGAGGCTGTGCCTCTCAGGGGCCGGGCTGTACGCCCGAGGAGGCGCCGTCGTGCTAGGACTAGCCTTTGTGACGGTACAGTCTGTACCACGTGCACTAACGTAGTGTTCGCTGCAGAACTCTCGCATAAGCTCCACTGTGACTTACTAATTCCTGGTAAAGTGACGAAGCTTCACGTCGGACGTCCTCAACGACATGACACCGACATTTGCGAAGGGAGCTCTGTGTGCCGCCTGCTGGTAAAAAGACAACCCGCGGCACGCTGTTAAGTTGCTTGAGAAAGCACGAGCCCGCACATCACCGTTGCCCTGCTCTCCACCAAAGGCTTGGGTGCGAGACGACATCATTTGCTGCAGGGGCAACAGGGAGAGGGAGACCGACATCACGGGCGCAGACACCGCGTAAGCACCGGCGCTCCTTCACACTGAAGCTCCGCGTGCTCGGCGCGGTTTCTCGCTTCGCACTCGTGACGACAGACAGTATCAGTATCCCCCGCATTCCTGGCTCTCCTAGCTATCAGGTGGGGCCGCGCACGCACATCCTCTTCCTTCCCTACAGCAGCCGCTGCACAACATGTTATGCGTCTCACAACGCTGTCGTGAGTTGCCCACGGTCGCAAAAGCGCGGCTTGAAGTCTTGCCACGTGATCAAGGTGCCGCGCTTTTCGCTGCCCGCAGCTGCACTGCATCCTGAAGATAGGGCAGCATGGGCGGCTCAGCATCCGGAAATTCAGGAGGACCACGACCTGCAGGGAGGGGAGCACCCTGGTCTGCGAACAGTAAACGCTGACAAATAAACGCCATGGAGCACGTCCAGCTTCGCTGTGCTTGCGATATCCTTTTGTCCCCACCACAACTTTGAATGCTGACGTCACAAACACAACATCCCTGCCTTATTCTCGTAGCGTACTCTGCTTCGCGCTGTACCTTCAGACACGTCCGCGGAGCCCGAGGGCCACCGTACGCAAGCGCAGCCACATAGCGCCGGAGGGACATGCGGCCTCCTTGCCTGCACGAGCCGACGCCTGAAGGCTGTCCGACGTGGCCCAACTTAGCCCGCTACAGAGCAGTTCTCCTCATTTACCTGCTGCAAACCGATCACCACGTCCTGCCTGAAGGCCTTCCGGCGCAAACGGCGGCAAACCTCTCTCCGCCGCACAACGCAGGGTTCGCAGAGCCCACAGCAGTACTCTGCTGGGCTGCTGTACAATCGGTTCTCGTCGTTTGAAGTTTGCATCTAACATGAGCTGTTCTGAGCACTGGCTACGAGGAACAGCCTCCTGAGCTCTCTGCATGTGGTATTCGAACTACCCGTAGCAACTGATAGCAGGAAGTGGTGGTGGATCGGCGTCAGCAAAATACATGTGCAACTTGCGAATCTGCTTCAGCGAAAATGCCTACGTTTGCTGTGACGTCCTTTCAAACTGCGCAGACGGCTGCAACTACTGTATCACTTCCTCCGTAGGCCTCCGGACCCGCTTCTCCGTAAACATCCAACTTTCTGTGCAGGCTCCGCTTTCTTTGATATGCCACGCAAAGGTGGAGCCGGGGCCGCATCAAACAAAGGAGCGCTGCCGGCTCCGCCACTCGAGCTACCAAGGTATGTCTGTATCTTTTACTCCTTTAACGATTCTCCCGAATCGTCACTGCCTCCGCTACGGGACAAAGGCGCATATCAAAAAACATGTTTCTGCTGCAGCAGCGACGCAGCGCTCCGGGATATGCGCTACCAAAACGGCGTTGGTGCTTCTGCGGCAGCGCTGCACCACACCATAGTGGTTTGTATGAGAACATGAGAAAAGTCTGTTTTGGTCTCGAGTGGACTTCTGTGATCCACTTCTGCAGAGTAGCGCAGTAATACAAGCGACGACTGCAGCCTCTATGCAGCTTCCGGACAGCACGTGCCCGGGCGGCCGAAAGCTAAGGAAGCACGGCATGCGCTGCGGCGGACAGAGTTTGCGGTGGCCCTTCCGGTACTATTGTATGACGTTACCACAATCTGTAAGACGGTTACAGTGGATAGGCACGTTCGCATAAAGGTTCTATTCTGTACTTTGACAAAGTGCGCGGGGAGCTGCTGGGCAGCTGAACTGCTAGCAGCAGCGGCGGTTTATCTCCCCTCACTACCGGTTTACAAGGAGGACGCCGTACTTCTGCCGCAGTTATACTATCAAAGCCAGGTGGCTAGTAACCTGCGTACCGTCTCTTTCAGCCGCCGGCGAGAAGCGGAAGCTTTAAAGCTGAGACGAAGGAAGCAGCTCAGCTCTTCGGCGAAGAAGTGCTTTGCTCCACGCTTGCGCTTCACCGGCCGACGGCTATATACCTAATAGACACGCAGCCAGCTCAAAGCTCAGTCATGTATAAAGGCCCATGCTTGCCCCACTGGCTGTGTCCTGGTCCGAGGTTTGACGCCGTATTTCGTTTGTTCAGCTTTTGTTTAAGGTTGTTCAGCCCACAGCACCCTGAGAAAGTCTAATACACGACATGCGGTTCCTGCTGAATGCGGAAAAAGAGATCATCTGCCTAGCCTGCATAGTACTACGTATCCACGCCTGTTACGTCTATCGCCTCTCCGACCACGCAAGACCCTGAACGCCGGAAACATGTATGGCGGAAGTTCGGCGCACCGCATGTCGACGGAATTCCCGGGTGATGCGAAGCGGTGCGGCTTGTTCATGAAAATCAGGAATAAGCAGCACCACGGCAGCTCGACTAGTCTCAGGGGGTCTGCGTGATCCTCTGTGTCCTGACTCGGTGATGTGCTCTGCAACATTACGAAGAAAGTCATCAAATGGTGCGCGGACAATGTCATCAGTCTATCTACGCGCTTCCGCAATCCCCTACGCCTGTTTACATCCCGCGACACACTTCGTATACCGTCATCGTAGAATTGTCTGCCGTGAGGTGAAGCCGCGACGTACTCGCAGCACTCTGTTCTAGCGTAGGGGGGCAGTGCAGCTCGCGCGCTGACGCTGGTGTCCCTTGTCTCTGCTGCACCGGACACCATACGGTCGGCCTCTTCCAGACTCTTGCTGCATAGTTGACAAGATTATATGTCGTTCTCAACGTCTACAGTTTCTTTCTTGGCACGGCCGCCCTCTCCAGTAGGCCCCGAGAGGCTGCGCATCGTGTGAGGGGTGCGCCGACATGAATTCACAGCACTTTTGTCGTGGTTCAAACGCACACCCTCTGCAAGTGTCCCTCCCACCCAGGTTTGTGTCATCCTCTCGCCTCCTGAACTCTGCAGTATACGTTTTCAGCTTCGACATGGAGGGTGCCATCGCGGGAGCAGAAGTGTCTTCTTCTGTCCGTTGCGCCGATGTTCGGCTGAACAGCGAAGACAGTGCGTACACAGTTCTCGCCTGCCAGCAACCCACTTGTGTCAACTTGTCTGACGGCGTCCCCAGACAGCGTGTCTGCTATACAAGTGCTACAGATAACTTCCTGGTGCGAAATTCGTAATCAAAAGCGTCGCCGGGTGCTCGAGCTTTTTCCAGACCGCTGAATCTGCCTTGAAGGAGGACTGCAGTGTCCTGCACGCGGAGGGCCAACGAGCTGAGCACGGGGGCCGAAGCAATCCCAAGCAAGCATGTTGCAGCTGCCTGGCGGTACCTGCCTCTCTACGTACTCACAGCGGGGTCGCCCTCATTGTTCGCAGGCGACCACGTGAAAAGGAAGCGTCTCTGGGACGATGTGAGCACTGCCGAAACTGCCTGCGGCAGAGCGGGCTTGCCCTGCAACCGCAGGAGACTGGGGCGCCAGTGGCGGGCAATCGGTGGGCTCTGCAGGCTCTGGGGCCCAGCAGCCGCTGCAAGGCCGGCAGACACTTCTGCGGGATGCCTTCTGGAAACTCCTTGTGTTGCAGCACACGTAAGCAGATCCTGCTGCCCCTGTGGTTGAGACCCGGTGCAGCTAGTGCGAAGAATTATGGCAAATTGTGTTTTCCTGCTTAGTAGTGATTGATGGAGGGCTGTGACGCAGTCGGGTGATTACTGCCAAAATGACGAAACGAATCAAGGGCCGCACAGGTGGAGGCACGGGCGTGAAACGTATGCTCACTACAGGCAGCAAGCCACAGCGGAGTGCAACTCACGTCCTTCTGCCCATGTCTCCGGAGCTGCTCGACAAGAAACCACACCTCGTCGGTGTGTGGACCTATGAAGCAATTGGCAGCCCTGCAATCTCAGCGGCATCTCTCGGAGCTGCTTCTGTGCATCGGTCGCCAATTGAGGCCTGGAAAGCCCTGTGCAGTGGAAACTCGAACGTGAGCCGCAGCCCGTGAGGCCGCTATCCTGCTGGCGGGGATACTCGGATGCCGCGCGCGTGTTCCTCCAGGGCATCTACCAGAGGATTGCGCCGCAACTAGAGGAAGCCATCCCAGGACCCCTCACAGAAAGCTGCCAGCCCCCCTTGGTGTGAGCCTCACCTTCAGCTGGTCAGGTCCGCTGCCGCGCAGCTGCGCTACCATTATGTCTGGGGCAGAAGGCACTCCAGTGTGCAAGTCGAGCCGCTCGATACCTCCTGGTAGCAGGTCCGTAAACGCCTGCCGTTGACGACGAGAATGCGGGACCATTCAGTGCTATTTTTTTTGTCTCTGGAAGTAGATTAAAAAATGTTCACTCTTTCAAGTAGCACCCGATCTTTCTCTACTCGAGCCCATGTAACCATAAGGCCCCTGCACCTTCACTTCATCCCTCGCCCTCATATACATCTGCCCCCGGCGACAATGAAGGAGCAGCATTTTCAAATCTCAGCTATGAACACGACGCTGGAACTGAAATGCATGCTCTCCACGGCAAGCGGGTAGCATCTCACAGCCCCTCCCACGAAGGTACCTGAGCCTTGTAAGCCGGCAGCGAAAGCCTCACGAATTGGCTGTCCGCGCTGCTTCAATTTCATCAGAGAGAATGCGACGTGTACGGAAGAAATAAGAGATGCGCCTCATTAATAGAGGTGCACGTGACGAGCGGCCTACAGCTGCTCGGTCTCCAAAAGAGCATACGCTGCCGAGAAGGCGTAGTGCACCAGCGTCAACGCTGCAGCATCCGTCGTCGTCAATTTCCTGCTGGAACCGTGTCCAAGAAGGAGGGTACTCCAGCACAGGCTTAGTAAGAAATTGATACGTTGCCTACGCACGCCCTTTCGCAGACCGGAGAGGCTGCTCAGTCGCTTCTCAATACAAAAGCCCAAGACTGCCGTAGCCACTCCCTGGCATTTAAAGCAGGTAATGTGTTCTACTGCCGATTGAAATCCCTCACAGTTCCTGCTGCTGTTTTTCCCTTCTCTTGTTGTCTTCCCCTCCACTAGCCCAGCAAAAGCCTAAGGAGACATCCTGCTGGAGGATTTCCTCCCTCCTTGCAAAACTGTGGCGCATCCGTTTGGCAGCTCTGGGTTTTGGACTCGCCAAGGCTACCCTTGTCCGTAAATGGACGACATGGGTTGGCGGGCGAGTTTTCCCACCTAGGCAGCCTAAGACCAGTCACCTAGCTGCAAGAGTATCATGCCAAATCCTCCTTAGGTCACTGATGTGGGCTGCTTACTAGTTAGCTGCTCATGTACCGGCTGTCTCCCGTCCACGTTGTACCCCCGTACAAGCTGCCAACCAAGACGCGTCGGCGGAGACGGGACTTGCCGGACGCTCAGACGTATACAGGTGCAATCAGGAGCCGACTGCGGGCAGTTTGTGATTAGCCGCGTGGGTTCGTACAGTAGAGAACCCCCGTTTACCAGTTTATCGTTCTGCGCACGAATTTTCCTGTACACCGCTCCGGCCTCATCAACGCGGCTCTTCGGGACACTTCCTTGAAACCGCGCCGTGCACTGGAGTCCCCACGCGCACGCCCCAAGCACCTCCCGTTGCCTCTTTCCACAGCGGTCTGGTCTGCTGCTCTACCTACAAGGGTGTCCGTGAGGTGCGACACATCCGCCGCCGCGCTCACCGTGCAGTCTTGAGGCTCTCTGATGTAAACGCTTCCTACGCCTGACCGTCTGCAGCTGTACGCGGGCCTGACTAGACGCGTGGGAATCTCCCCCAAGGCATCGAAGACCACCGCGCGCTGCCCGCCTTCCTGAGCGGCGTTGCGGTCAGCCCTGCATTGTGGCAGAGTGGCATTCTCCGCGAGTGACATCCGGTCACGCCGCCCCAGTGTCGAAGGGGCTCCGTGCTCACCGTGGCTCAAAGTCCTCCCTCGATCACGCATATGAGATGCGGAAGAACTCTGCGGCACTGCACGTATGCCGGTGCGCTCGTGCACGACGGAGCTCAACTCGTAGTGCGCGGCATTCAGTAAGGGCGTGGCAGGCAGCCGCCTCCGTACAATGTGTTGGTAAGTTAGGAGACCCGCTGCGCGTCAGGGCCACACCTGTGAGAAGCTCGAGTGCACATGAACAGGCAACCCGCGGTAGAGGATTCTCTGCAGCGAACGCAGGCCTTCAGGTACCCGTCTAAGCCGGTCGCGCGACGGCTCTTCCACCGCGTGGATTCCTCCCGCGTCGAACAGCTGATGGACAGAGACACCATGGCCCCTACGGCCGAAACCTGGACTTCTTCTCGCCCCGGTAATGCTTCTGACGCCAGAATACCCAGCTGCTTTCGAACTTTTGCATTTTACTGACCACGCTGCCGCGTGCCGACGTATCAGCAGCGTCACATATGCTAAAGGGACGCTTCAGCAACAGCCCAGGATGGCCTAACAGGATCCCATCTCGTGGGCACTTCCGAGGCATTCCTTCTAAGGCGGCTTCACAAGGCCCGACCCGTGCTACTTTTCTAAGCTGCGTGGCCAGCAGCCTTGACACTGCGATCGTCGCCCAGGCGAGGCCCAGATCCGAGGCAAGATGTGCTGTCGGCTCGCTTTCAGTTCCAGCCACCGACAGCGTCACCTCAAGAAGAACAAATCCTACGCAGACACCTGAACCCCCCAACTCCAGAACCTCTTCCGTCGAGAAACGCAGCATGCGCCTGTTTTACAGCTTTCACCACATTAGCCAGCAGCCATCCACAATGTCTGCGGAGACCGTCGGCTGGTTTAAACGGCTACGAAAACCGTCGGTAACACCTCATGACGGAGCTTGCCGCCTGACAGTGCGTCATGCACGGCGTCGCTCTCTGTTGGCGCCACGCAACTTTACACTCTGCTGCCGCGCGTATACTTTTTTGCATACCCTGCCACAACACACCTGCGCGCTTGCGTGTTGCTGACTCGGACCTTTCTCGTATCAGGCTGTGGGACGGCATCTCGCTATTCGCTCCTCATATCGACGACGCCAGCGTTGCTACCTCACTGACACCCTTTTGCACAGTCTCCCGCCAGGGAGGTCAAGTACAATCCGTCATTCGTCGCCCCTCCGCACCCTCAGGCACATGTGCCCGCCCTGTTGATTTGAGTGACATGCTTTGCCATCGTGATATTCATGTGACGGACCCCAGAGACCGCCTTGATCTATAGAATAGAGATGAGGCTTACCAGCCGTAGCCCGAAAGGACTTCTGTCGCAATCTTCGTGCCTAGCCCTCCCCACTGGGACTCGTCACAAGGCTGGAAAACCTCCGCCCGCCTCACTGCGGGTGAAACATACCGCGGTGTTTACTGAAGGTGCTGCTGCTCATCGGCCAGGTTCTCTCCGCAATCAGCGCTGCTCCTTCCCTCGCGGGCACTCTGACTCCGTGTGTCGTGCAGGTTCGCCTGTCATGCCTCTGCAAATCTTCCGGTCCTTCGCGTTTCCCTAAACATACTGGTAATACCTCATGAGTCCCATTTGAGGGTCACCCGACCTGACTTTCGCGTTGCCCTGCGACAGCACCCTCCGCTGACGCTGCTATTTCTTCTAGCAGGCCTCAACACACCCGTAAGCGCTCGCGTGGGTGTCTCTCAGCCCACAGCGTCCTCAAAGCACATGAGATCTTCTCACAGCCTGTCGCAAATGTCAGATCGAATGTACATACGTGCTACTAACACGACAGCCTCGTCATCTGGCGAAACGCTCTTCTGCGGAGACTCCCGAACAGTTCCGCACCCCCTGTGCACGGTCGGAGCAGGATCAGACGTCTGGATGATTGGATAGATATGCTTTCCCATCAAAGCATCTACATGATGGGTCACAAAGACCTCCTCAGCCCACAACATAGAAACGTCATCAACTTGCTGTAACTCCGCAAGGCAAATGCCGCAATCTCCGAAAGTCACCCTCTACTGTTGGGGCTCGCCACAAAAGAAAGGCAGAAAACTCCTTCCTCCTCGCAAGTAGAGCGTATTATGACGTTGTGCCCGCCACGCTTCTGCTCGTCGTGCACGTCATCCGCGGAGCCGCGAGTGTCACGCGTTGCGCCCTCGTGCGCATTACACCTGTATTCGATAAGCCGTCCAGGCGTGTCGTGCGGAAAGAGATCCCTCGGCAACTGAATGAGATCCCCGCCCTCTCAGGTCTGACTCAGGTGACATTGCTTTCTCTTGATTGCACCACAACGACCACTTGAGCAATGCCTGCCTGGGCTCCGCGCACTACCCCGCCGGATGCCATACGTGGCATGCAGGCCTGGGCAGTGTGCCTCTATAGACCTCCAGGTACATCACGTGTATCAGAGCAAAGCTGTCAAGTGCTGCAGAGTTACAGAGGAACTCTACGTGGGCTGAGACGGGCTTCCTCCCCCTGCTCTCACAAAGGATCCTCGCTGACGCCACTGCTCCCAGCGCCTGGTACCACCGCATCCGCAAATGCTATCTTGCGTGCCTTTTCGTCTCGCATGCAAAAAAACGATCTTACTCACATCCTGTCACAGAAAGCAGCCCACTCCTAGGCATGTGCTTCTCCCAGGCCTTCCGGCCTCTAGGTGAAACTTTGTCTGTCGTGGGTACCTCATGCAGGTCCCAACTTTACAGCTCCACGGGTGACTGAGGTACGAAATAGGTGTCGGCGCGGGAGCATTTACCCGGTGGACCAAGAAGCCATGCGCGGCCCGTGAAATTGAAAGCTGCTCAGCAGGAGTCGCTCCAAAAGGCAATTGACTCAGCGTCCGAGACTCGCCCGCTGATATGTGGACTTGTTACAAGACTAAGACAGCTTTTATTTATCAGTTCACAGCTACACCACTGTGTAACGTTGGCTCCGACACGCTGCCGATAGTGGCCCATGGCATCTCCCACACGCCGCCGTCCTCACGAGAGTTGCCGTCCCGAGCTATCATCCTATAATCTCTGAGTCAGAAGGAAATACTGCGCTGGCGAAGGACAAGCCCGCCAGTGAAAAAGCTTCCCCCGCTTTTTCTAGTCTCTAGCGCTTGTCTTCTAGTCTCTAGCGCTTGTCTCACGTCGCTTGTGAATCCAGACATACGATCATCCGAGGAATGTATTCATTTTGTGCGGCCTGCTAGACCCACCGCATGTGCGTCAGACCTTTCTCCCAGAACCGCTCGCCGTGTTTCTGCACGTATCCGGCAGCTTTACCTTCTGAAAGCCCACCTCGGGCGGAGCTCGCGGTGGTCCCGCCGCGGAAGCCTCCGGATACCCGAGTGTTCGCTACCCTTGGCCCCACCACATGCGCCGGTGCCTGCCACTGCACCGGCCTCACCTGTGAAGTGAGCAGCATTCGTTCAAGTCCTCCGACAACAGCGAGTCCACTTTCTGGTGCATTTTCTCCAGATGGCCCCGGGTCCTACAGCACAAAGAGCCTTCCTGCATCACCTTCCGACAGCAAGGTGGTGTCCCGTCTGTCGCGCCCGCTTCTCAATCACACTGATGGTTTTGCCTGGACGACGTGGGAGCTGTGTTTTGTGATCGACACGCCGTACGGCGACCACACACAAAAGCCCGACGTATAATACAGGAACGCTTCTGACGAGCCGCTGCTCCAGAGAGCTACCTCGAGATGGTCTCCCCTCTGTTTGAATCCCCGCACGGCTGGGATAGGCATAAGCACACAATGCACAGGACAAACATATTGCCGCTCCCTGTTGCAACCCTTCATCTTCTCCGACATCTTCTTGCTACGGCGGTCCAGAGCGCTTCTACCCTCCAGCGCATCCCGCGCGCACTTGGGGGGCCCCACCTGAAGGTCCTGCTGGAGAGGGATACGTCAGCGACCGAAATCGCTTTCCATTCCCTGCCGCCCCCTCTTTCTGCGTGCTGTCTCGCCTCTGGTACGGCCCCAGAAAAAGCCGAAGGCTGCGTCTTCTGCCGCACATTGTCCCCCGCACGCCTGAGCTTGGCTACCGTATGAGCCGTGAGCTCTCACCGTACATGCAGCAGGTGTGCCGGCGTGATGATCGCAGTTCATTGGGCGATTCTGCAACCACAGCGACCAGCAAAGAATACTCTGACACCCCTTGTCGGGCTCCAGCGCTGTTCCAATTGCGGCGCTCGGAAATATTAGCGTCAGCACTGTCTCCACCGTATTGGCACAGCTGCTGTATAGGCGTCAACATGCAACCGCAGTTCGTGAACACAACGCGGAATTAGGTACTTCTCACGACTTACCACACACAGGTACACTTCGAGAGTCGGGGGCCCCCCGAGGGGCCTTTCGGGTTCTAGGAAGTGTACTACCAGAGCCTTTACCCCCGCTGGCCGCACCAATCTGCTCAGCGCATTCTCTTTCCTCTAAGCTGTCAATCATGAGAGGCCTCTGCTCGAGCTTCCGGGCAGGGGCGTGCCGTTCTGTGACCGGGCCCCGTTCAGCAGGCGGCGAGTTTGTGCACCACTTCTCGCCGCGGCAAGTTGTGCCCAGCTTCTCTGCATCTCCTCAATCCTGTGTGTACGACAGATGACTCTCGTGCTTACCATGGTATTGTTGTCCCCCGCTTGTTTACGCCTAAGCTGCTGCAAGTGCCACCCCAAGTTTCGGAGAACGCCCAGGCCGGATTTGTCGTTGCTACAACACCGCCCGCCTGACTGTGGGGCAACGTAATAAGCAGCGTCAGTCGTACTGCCGCCAAGCGGCATTTCGTTTCAGCTCCTTCGCTTATGCGCCCTGGCGGCTTCCAAAGGCGTCATCAGGGCTCAGTGTGGTGTGGAACAGATTCGTGGAACTGGAAGAAGCAGTAGGTTGTTCAGCCTGGCGCTCTGATTTTCCAGTATGAAGCTTACGTCCTGGTGCACGCCAGCGGGGACAAACATGGCTAGTAGAGAGCTCCCTTGTTTACGTCTCTCCCTCGTCGATCAACCACTCGCGCCCGCACCTTTTGAAAAGCCAGTCTTCTCAGGACTCGCTTGTACAGTCAGAAGGAGCCTGCAACAGGTCAGCCAATTCTAATGAGGTGCGCGCGCACGTGCTTGAGGGCGGATTGATTGTCAGGCGAAATGTGCCTGTCTGGCGTGCGTCCACATCCGAAGGTTGAATGCCTGAAACCACATTCACAGTTTGATTAAGAGCATTAAAATTTTCTTGAGTGCGCTCTTTGTGCTTGCATATGAATGTACAAATACATATACGTACATCTGTATACATATATGTACATATATGTCTATGTATGTATGTATGTATGTATATATATATATATATATATATATATATATATATATATATGTGGACGACCCCCGCGCTGCCAAGGCGGTAGCCGAAGTGCGAACCCTGGTCCCTAGCGTAACGTGCTTTGACAACGCGTCAGCAGGGTTTCGCATGCTAGCGGCGACGGCTTAGGAAGCTGTCAACTTGTTCCAGCACCCACTGTGACGCCGGCAGTTCACGCTGTGCGGATCCGCTATGTATGCCGGTGCTGCTCAGCACTGCAGCACGGTGCTCTTCCTGAAGCGAAGCCCTGTGATCGAGGCCAATCACCAACGCCCCGCACCGCATCTGCAGTCAGGCGCGCGGCCCTCGTCGCCACGTGTGCCTTTACCCTAACAGCAGAGATGCTGCGCCTAGCAAAGCCAGGATTCCTGACTTTTATTTTACAGAAACTCTAGAGACCTCGTCGCGGAGAGAAACCTCGCCTTCAGAAGCATCGGTGGACCCGGAAGCTTGAGGCGTGCCAGATGGCATCCCCGCGGGGCCCGTCGGCCGCATCCGACATCTCGAGACGTCCCAGATCGCACCTCAGGCCCCAATCTTCACGACCCGGTGACACAAAGCGCGCGATGCCCTATGCGCCGGAAGGAGCCGCCACAGCATCCCCCCGTTGGCACAATCTGACGCACGCGTAGCAGAAGCATTTCTAGGCGCGGACTCCTGCATGCTCTCCTTACGAAAATATACTAGCAGCCCACGAGCTGCTAGTTCTACGTGAAAAGACGCAGTCACCTGGAGGTGCCTGCCTTCCAGGACGACATTGCTGTCACCGCACAAACAGCTTTCCTCTATATCCGCCCCAAAGTGCGACATCGTCAACTCCGCCGTTTCCACCGTCTTCGTACTCTGGCCGTGATGACACGTGCACGCGGCTCAAGATATAAGCATCCTTCTTGACAGATAGGCGTGACTCACCTCACAGACGAGCACGACCTACAAAATCCGAAAAACTCAGATCTCCTCAAAGCTGCAGCTGCGTACCTTCGAGAAGCATCGCCGCAGAAGCCACAAACGTATTGTAGGCAGAAACCCTGGCCTTCAGCGTTCGCCCGAATTTGCCTGCCCACCGCGGAACTTTGTTCCTATCGCGTTCCGCACTACTCCTTCCCTCTCGCGCAGCCTACCTGAATGCCGTGGCTATACAGTGAGGAGAGAAAATTCACCGGCACTTCAAGGCGATTCCGCTTCCCGCCCCTGCGTTCGTGCTGTCTGCCGTTTGACGTGCACCGCATGCAAACAATCAGCTCATCGCTGCGCTAGCTTCGTCTTCCTGCGGCACACGACGCTGCAGCAGCAGCGCGATGTGTGGCCGCCTTCTACCACTTACCGCGACTCTCCCCAGCCACCCTCTACAATCCAGGGGACAGCGAAGGAAGCGCGGATCACACATAAGTCTCGTGGTTGCCGTTAACTACCGAGCCTTTGCTCGCCGCCGAATCGTATGAGGCAAATGGCTCACAATGATGTGTCGCACCGTTCGAACAGTCTCGTACAGCCGGGGACACGTCGGCTGCACCCGGAGGCGAATGGATCACTGACCTATACGAACATGCGGATTCATGTGCGGCACGCCGTTCTTTCCCTGACAAACATGTCGGCTGCAGACTTCAATCTCGTCGCTCAGATATCTATTGTCGCACTTTCTACGGGCGGTCTCCACTCCTCCTCCCCCGTACTAAGGGCCTACTTGTGTAACACTCCTTATTAAGTGCCTAGTGAGCTTCAGCATCAGTTGTCGCCATAACGAAGATTGTGCCCGCCAATATGTATGAAAGCCTTTCATAGGCGACAGAGCGGAGTCGCGCTCATCGTGCGCTTCTGGCACTCTCCTAGTGTCGGTTGCAGCTGCCTGCGTGTCCTCGTCGTTGTTGGAATAGGCTCTCAGAGATCATACGTATTTGTCCAAAAGCAGTCAGGAGAAGCCATCGCGTCACCGCGGCGAGCGTGGGCAGCGTTGCTGCGCGACCCCCCCCCTGTGAAAATGCCCCTTTCTCGAAAACCTGGCCTTTTGACAGCTAAGAGCTTCCCCGAGGTTGCGCTCCCCCCTGTGGAGTGGCCGCAACGGTTGAGGTCGGGCAACCTTCTCCTGTGTGCAGCAACTTATATGTTCTACGTTGATAGTGCCGCGCGCACGGGTGTTCTCACTTGCTCCTGCGCGCGAGCCGGTAGGTGTGTCGGGGACAGCCAAGCACCATCAGAGGGGCAGGCCGGCCGTCGATCGGTGAGAGTTCCCAAACGTGGGCCGGCACTTCTCCAGAAGTCTTGTTCCGTGCCATGATATTGCTTCCAAGCGGCCGCCTGCCCGCCTCGTTTGTTCCTAGCATGCATATTTGCGACCCTTTGAAGTGGCCTTCACACCACGCAGCCCTGTCCTCGACTCGACCAGTAGCCGAGGCACGGACGACCGCGCGAGCACGCCATAGAGTACTCCAATGTCTATTATGTCTCCCTCACTAATGGTGCCCCCGACATACGCCGTCAGATTATTCGCCCCCTGACTCCAGATGCCAGGGTGTTGGCGCTGGTGTCTAACGAAGGACTGCGACCGACGACAACGTGTTAGTAGCGCTACGTATGCTGGTAGCAATTCCTCAGCAGCCTGCAGTTCCGGCCAAATAAATTGCTCACCTGCACCTGTTCCCGCAACGTGTCTCGCCAAGCACAGGCAAAGTGTCTCGCGCTTGCTGCTGTTGCCTTCTTGGTTTGGTACCTCATGTTCTCGAGCATCCGCCAGCGCTGCGCACCTCCCGCATTGCGTCGCGTGTAGCTTAATGTTCACAGTAGAGTCCTTGAAAAGGACCAAAGGCAGAACTCCTGTCGTCAGCATCAGACAAGCCGCTTTACCCGTTCTCGCAGACAGGGTTGTTCTCTCTACTTTTCCTCAAAGATCCGCGATTCCCTGGCTACCTCCTGGCCCCGCGCCTGTGCAGACAGTGCGCTACTGTGCTCTTCTCCGAAGGTTACATGAAACATCTCCGCGGTTGCGCAGGACTCCATAATGTGGAGAAACCACACCCTTCGCAAGTTGACGTCAGATTATCCAGCCTGTCTACGCCCCTCTGAGGGCAGGGCTCTACAGACCCTGGCGCAACAGATCTGTACGCGCGCTCCTCCTGCTAAACGCCCACAGCTTGAAATCCGCGGGATTCCCCATAACGCACGAAGACTCACCGTCGGGCTGCAGCTGCATCCCGAAGGAAACGGCCAGGCAGCTCGCATATGTAGCTTTCCACCCCAACACCTTATGTGTTTGTTCCCTCCGACCCGCCGTGCGCCCCAAAGATCTCGCAACACGTGCAGATCAACGGAAGCAGATTCCATCTTGACAAAACATGCGTGCGACAGACCCCGTAAGACCGCCGCGGCGTCCGCCCGGAATACACCGCTCACTAGCCGTAGTGACGAGATTTGCGTTCTCATCTTCAAGGTCCTTATTAGGGTTAGGCACGATACCTCGCACATGATATAAGCACTCTGCGGAATGGAAGCACCCCGCGCCTTCTCCCGCATCCATCCTACCTGCATTTCGCCGAGACACGCTGACAGTCTCTGCTTGATAGATGTAAGCCGGGGGGTAGAGCCTCCTCCCACGTGCTACTGGCTCTGGAGAAACGGACACAACGATGATCCGTATGCGCTGCGAGCGCACCACACGTGTATCGCGCTGCGGATCCGCCATGCCCTCCGAACCGCAGGTTTCCTGCACACTTGGCACTGCGTGGCGGATGACGTCGAGAAGAAAAGAAGGCAGCCCGGTCCATCCTATTTGCTGTCTATTCCAACGCTAGATTTCCCCTGCCGTCGCCGGCTCCGCACGTCTAGTCCAGTGAGACTCGTACACAAGCCTAACCCAGACATTGGCAGCTCGATTCGGAATTCTCTTTGAGAGACTCTCGCGCACACAGCCAGGATCCACACACCGGCTAATTCTGGAAGTAATTCTTGTGCAAAGGTACGCACTGAGAGCGGGCACCTTTCCTCCCCGGGCAAGGAGTTCGACCTACACGGAACAGCACGCAGCGGTTTTTACTTTTGCAGTTCCCGTGTATTCACTGCAACGGTGCGCCTCCACCGACGCTCACTCACACGCGCGCCGTCCCCCTACTGATCGCATGGCAGTGTGTAGGGAGGAGAATAGTCTATTGTAAGTAGAATCTGACTGAACCCTGCGCTGTATATTTACAACCAGCACGTTCCAGTCCTATAGCGTAGCCGCTCAGCAAAGCAGTGGTGTCGCGCTTCATCAGGGTCGACCTCCCACTTTGAGACTCCGTACCTGGCGAAGCGCACTTTGTCACGCACACCACAACACTCCTGTCATTCGCAAACCTCCGCACTGGCGTACCCTCTCTCTTCTGCTCCTAAACGGCGACTTCCCCTCTCAAGCTCGGGCCCTTACCACTCCTGCCCTGGTGCGCGTCCTCCTTCAGGTACTGCAGAAAGCACATGGAAGGATCACCTCGTGCAGGAAGAAATCGGCCGCTGAGCTCGTTTCCTAGTCGGTGTCGCTGCGAGGCTTCTCCCCCGTCCGTCGACGAATGAAGGCAGACCTGTCCTGCAGACGCATCCACAGAGGCTCTGCAGTCTGGCCTCTCTTCGACGAGTTCTATGACACCACTGGTAACACTTCAGGTTTCACACAGTGCGTCTGCTCCCGCGGGTATTTGCCGTGTCAAGCCGGGCAATGTTTGCGCGACCCCTGGCCGCCGGCACTCGCGGCCATCACATCACTACAAGCACTCCTGCGTGCGTCTCCGAGGCTTTCCAAAGCAAGTGTGTCTCGGAGAAAGGCGTTGCATTTTAGCTGCCGCGCGTTGTATTTCTTCTCTGCCCAGTGGGCCGCGCGCATATCCGCATCTATGTGAAGCGGCCTTCGAGTCACACCTCCTGCCCTACGCTACCCCGCCCTTGAGAGTATGCTCTGTTCTCATCCTGATGGTGTTCTCGGTCGGTGCTACTGAATTAGTTCCGTCACACATTCAGACGCTACGGCATCCGCGCCAGCATCTAACAGAAGGACCTTAGTGACAATGGGGTGTCAGTGGCAATACGTGTGCTAGTTGCATCGCCTCAGCAACCAGCCCACCCGGTCATATCAAATCCTCACCAGCTCCTGTCCGCGCACCGCGTACGACCATTGCGCAAACAGATTGTCCCACGGTTACTGCTGCTGTCGTCCTTGTGTTCCGCCTAGTGTACTGGAGTGTCCTCCAGCGCGGCGCGCCTTGCCAACTGACAGAGCATGTAATTTCAACCTCACTGTAGCTTCAGTGGACGTGACGAATGAGAAGCCTTCTCTTTTCTGCCCCACGCAAACCGTTACATTCATCCTCGCCAACAAAATCGTTGCCTCAAACCTCACAAGAAGGTCCCCGAGTTCCTCTATGGCCTCCGACCGTCGCACCCGTGCACACAATGCGCGATTCTGCATAATTCCGAGCACCCTCAGAGATGTCCCAGGCGTGCCACGTGAATTCATAACGGTAGTAACCGCTCTGTCGCCAACCTGCTCCGGAGTAGCAGGGCTAGAGCAGGGCTCTAAACTCCGAGCGCAACAGATCTGTACGCGCATTCGTCTTACTGCGAAGCCGAACCCGTATTATTTGGCGTCTCCCGCAACATAGCAAGAAACACCGTAAATATGTAGCTACACCTCTGAGGGAATGAGCGCGGCAAGCTCACAAGTGTCTCACCCGTGTAGCTTCACCGCGTCGAGGATTTAGCAGTTGCGTTCGTCCGGCCCGCTGCGCACCCTAAGGGTCTGGTGACACGTACGGATCAACGGAAGCAAACTGCGAGCCAGCGGACCACGCCTGTGACAGACCTCAAAACCCCGCCTTGGCCTACCACGCCAAGCACCGCCGACCAGCCCGAGTGCCGAGAATAGGAATGCAGGAACTGTACTCTGCATCAGGATGCACATGATGTAGAACCTTGTCGCCTCAACGCCTCGAGTTCCTAGACCTCCCGTACTGCTGGTCGCCTTCGGGGTTCTTTTCAGAGTGCCGCCCCGCTCTTCCTGCCCTCCCGCGCATTCTACTTGTATTAGACGAGCGGCGCCAGCGGCTCTTGCTTTGTGGACACGGGTCTGCCGCCAAAACCGCCTCTGCTCCCTACCGCCGAGTCCGCTCTCTGTTTCCTGTTGTGAGAAGCACGCGAATGAATCTCCTGGTGCCGTCTGTCCTGTTCCGCAGATCCACCCCCTCTCCCCTCTACAGCCTTCCTGCTCCCCAACCAGCGTCCGCTGATGGCGCCGAAAACATAAGAAGGCGCCCCGTTACATTCCCTCTGTATTTATTAAACCCCTACCTCCCGACTTCCCGCTTTCCCTCAAAACAGTGCTGAGTCAGCAGCGTGTCTTGTCGTCTCCGCAAGTCTAGCTGGCGACCGTACATATGATTTCGGAGCCTCCTCATCGGACAGCCCGACGCTAACCGATCCCGGAAAAGAATGCCTGCACAGGTGCGAAAGGTGAGTCGCCGCTTGATTTTCCTCTAGCGAGGTGTTAGATGCCTACGGCCAAACCCGTCGCAGCCTTCGCTCTTCCTGTGCGCCTGTGGTTGCTCGGCCTGTCCCCCTCTATTGCCGTGTGCTCAGTGCCGCGCTGTCACCGCTCTACACTCGATCACCCTGGGACCATCAGCGGCGCCGCCCGCCACAGCGAGGACAGTTGGCATTTTCCCGACATGAGGCAATCGTCCAGTGGAATGAGTGGGCACTGTCGAAAACCTCTAGTGTATGCCTCGGCTACCCAGCAGCTCACAGCATGTCCGCCGCGGCTTCCAAGGTACACCCCTGGGTACGCGGTGGTTTTGTGATGCGACGGAGACAACAACGGTTGCACAGTCGTCAGGAAGATTTTCTGCATAGATGCGATTCGCTTACCCGGGGTCGTCCGGGGTACCATTATGAAGCACCTATACGCAACGCCATAAACTACGCGACGCGTGTGAAGTTCAGCAAGGTTTTGCGAACGGCGGCGCTTGATTGGCTCTTATTCGACATTGCTCTCCTTCAGAGCTGTGCTCACTTCAAACCGCACAAGATCCAGCAGAGAGGCGCATGCCGCCATCAAGCAAAGGGTGGCCAATGAGCAGTAAGAGTCTTCAGGTCGAGCCTCCGCATCTCTTCCTCGCTCTGCGTAGATGCTTGCCGCAGACAATTTATGTGCTAAAAGAGGCGCGTTAAACCCTCACGACAACCTGAGTCACCTATTTCCATTGCGAAACAAGCAAACGTTGACGGCAGGCTATAAGGCTTACCGAGCACGGCATACCTCTATCCGTCTTTCTTTGTGTCCGGATGGGGAAGTACCAGGTAAGCAGTGAGATCCAGTGTGATTCGGTGAGGTGGCGCATGTCACCGCTTACTAGACATTTCATCCCTCCAAGAGCAGGTCCTTGTGAAGACCTGCTGGTCGCACTGAGGTCCTCCACAAACGCGGGCGCTCAACCGGCTTCGCCGCTACGGTGTCAGCGGCCGCGCCTAGTGGGAAGCCATCATTGACGCCAGCGTGCCACTGACGCCATGTATGCTGGGAACACCGTCGCGGTAACCTACTGGTTAGACTACAAGGAATTCTGACCGACACAAGTTCACCAGCTCACATCCACGATTAACGAACAGAATGTCCGACGTCTATTGTGGCGGTCGGTCTGGTGTAACACAAAGTGGACGAGAGCATCTTAGCGCGTGAAGCAGCGCAACGCGTATCAGCAGCTGATCTCTTTGGTCGCGGGTGCGCCACTCCTCACAGAAGGTTCGACGTGACCAAAGGCAGACTTCTTGTCATTTACCAAACACACACCATCACAGCGGTCCTCGCATTCAGGGTTGTTACCACCGCCTCTGCGCGGCGCCATGCCTGTCCGGACACTTTCTTGTGTTGCATTTTAGAGAGCACGGGCAGCCACGCCTCTCGGTCCCCAAAACACGCCACAACGTAACGAAGACTCGGCGTCGCCAGCCGACTCCGGGATGCTCCTTCTTAGTAAGTCAACGTAAGAGCATTGCTGCGTAGCGGTGAAGCGGCACATCTGCGCCCATATGTCTTTGCACTTATGTACAGCATACAGTATAGGCCATCTCGTATGGCAGGTCCAAGAATTTCGTCATCTCCAAATCTATGCCTGTAAATCGAAAGCCGTTCAGAACCCGCAGGCAACTTCTTGTATGTAGCCCTGCTCTAAAAAGACCTAGTCATGCTAGTTGTGCCGACCAGCTTCGCGTCCTGCACATGCCAGCGTTGCAGAAAGATTGCGGCACGCTTCTGTCCCCGAAG